CGCCGGCGTCTTGGTCGTAGCACACGGCGTCGTCGCCACAGGCGTCGTTGGCACCGAGGTCGTCGTCGTCGGGGTGGCACAAGGCGTCGTCGGGGTGGCACAAGGCGTCGTCGGCGAGCTAGTTGTCGTTGGTGACGGCGTTACCGTTGTCGTAGCGGGAGTGGCTGTGAAAGGCGCTTCCGTTGTAGAAATGGGGCACGGAGTCGACGTAGCGGTCGTTGGCAAAGGCTTTGTCGTCTTGGTGGTGGACGTAGGCATCGGGGTGCGCGTAGGCTTTTTCGTCGTAGGTTTGGGGGAGCGCGTAGGCTTTTGCGTCGTAGACTTCGGGGTGCGCGTAGGCTTGGGGCTGTGCGTAGGTGTGGGGCCGCGCGTCGGCAGCATGGTTGAAGGGGAAGGCGTCACGGGTGCCTCCGTCGGGTAGCCGTAGGCGTACGAATCGAAGTCGTCCGATCCGTACACAGCAATCGTCTCGGTGCCGTCTTGAGCTTGGGCCTGGGCCTCGCGGGCCATGGCGAGGAGGGTGATACCGAGGAAGATAGCTTTGGCAGAGACCATTTCGACGGTTGACAGTTGGGTTTGGCTCGACGAGGCACGAGAAGATTGGGGAATGAGCACTCTCACAACGTTAAGGCCTGGTAGAGGCCTAGTAGCACTCCCACCACCAGCACGTCATGCGTAGGGCACTGCATGCTGCCGTTCGGCAAATGGTAGGCACCGTATGTGCTCAAAACAAGCTATTTGTGCACGTGGTGCCTGGAAATGCCGCATGAATCGACACCAGTTGCTCTAAAATATCGTCTTTACCGGTAACTTGGCCACTGGGTGCGGATTAAAAATGAGCGGAGCCCGGCAGAAAAATGAGCGAGGCTGGAAACGGCAGAAAAATGAGCGAAATTGCCCACAATTACCCTTCCCCTTTCCCTGGCAGAGCCTTTGGCGGGCCAAGAGTGCCGGCTCGGGTTAAATTGGACAACGGATTTGCACTTCGTGCAAACCCGCAGCCGATTTAACCCTTTCTACACATCACGTCCGCTCATTTTTCTGCCGTTTCCAGCCTCGCTCATTTTTCTGCCGGGCTCCGCTCATTTTTAATCTTTTTTCCTTGGCCACTGTGGTCAGACCTTGCCGGTTTCACAACGGGTTATATCACGTCGTGCGGCCACGTCTTTCTATCGCCTCGATGCTAGTCTCGCCTCTGTTCGTGCAAATTGCGCGCCGGCGTGCGAATGCAGGTATCGGGAGCCACCAACAAACCTTGCGTGTTCTCTAGAGCTTCGAGGTGCCCTGTGGGGACAGGAGAACCGAGAACCTGGCCATCGACGGTTGCTGCGGTACGAAGACAAAGGCGACGGGAGCACCACTGAGACGCGTACTCCAGTTGACTGAAATACAGTGACGTCTGTCGAAAGTCGTGCGGTAGAGAAGCCTGCAACGCTGCCACGCAACGACCTGGGCCGCCAATCACAGACCACAGCGGTGGATCGTATCGTCCGGATATGAGCACTAACTCATGAACTCGTACCAACGCAACCCTGCGGGGTTTGGTGTCGAGGCATGGATACTTCCATACTTGAGGTATATCAAAGCGCTTCTTTGCCCCATCCGAGGCGCCCCGTTTCTTAGGACGCACCAAGATCACGCTGCC